AGCACTTCTCCTTTGGTGCCTGCCCAGAATGACGAAGGATTTGGTCTGGGACTTGGGAACAGCTCCGACTCTTTGCTTTTTAGTCCTGTTCTTCAACGAAATAAGCTCGTGGGATCATGCTCTTGCTCTTGCTCGTTGTGTCTCTGTGTGTAACTTCTGGCCTTTCCGGGCTGATTTCAGGTAGGTTTGGTGAAGGGCTGGTGTTTTCCAAAGCACTAAGAAGCCACAAGCACATGCTAGCGGGAGCCAGGGCACGAGGCTGTGCTGGAAACCAGCCCGGGGGACGGTGTGGGGGGAACGATGGCCTTCGGAGGAGATGTCCCCTTTGTGCTCCTGCGTCACCAGCGGCCCTTAATCGCTCCCTTGCAGCTTGACGCCGTTTGAACACAACGTCAGAGATGGCTTGTCCTTTGAGACCCAGACATCGTTTCCGAGCAGGCTGGGACGGGCAGACAGGAGCGACAGGAGGTGTGTGGGCTCTGGAGCCTTTGGGCTGCAGCCCTCGGCTCTGGATGTGGGTCCTGCCGCAGCGACGGAGGTGTCAGCAGGCACTGAGAAGGCGATTTGGAGGTCAGGGCAGCCCTTGTGTCGGCTTGGGAAGCGTGCGGGTGTCTGTGAGCACCCCGATGCGGGTTAGTGCGAAGCCTGGGAGCTCCCTGGGTGCCTGCCTGGCTGAAGGAACCCACGGTCTGGGCTGAGGAGGATTTCTGAAATTATGGTAAAGGCATGTCAGGCTCACCGAAATGTGCCCCTCTTTGTGCAGCCCTAAAAAGCAAATGAATGGATGGGGTTAATGAGGGTCTGCTGTAACCGTTTGTTTTCAGTCCTGCCTCTCCTGAGGCATCTTTTCAGCCGGTTGGATGCAAATTTCTTCCTCTTCTCTTTGGACACGAGTTATCTTTCATGCCAAATGTTACTTGAATCTTGCTTCGAAGTGCCGTACACCAAAGTGACATCCCAGCTGCAGGGATGAACCCTCTGACAGCCCGCACTGCATTTTTTTGAACCGGCACAGGGACAGACGTGGAGATCCTCCCGGTCACATCGCACCTGGGAACATTCATCTTGGTGACCGTCCCTGCGGGTGTCTTTGCTGTCCTGCGTGGCACTGAAAGAGAGGATGATGGTGTCACATAGTGCCCGGCCCGGCACGTGTGAGTCAATCACCTGGATTGATTCCTTTAGTTCAGTGACACGGATTTATCTGTGCTTACTGAGACAGGGTTTATGGTGGTGGAAGGACTGAGAAGTTCATACACAGAAATAAGGGAATATGCCTGGTGAGGAGAGACAAGTGTGTGCTGGGAGGGGGGTGTGTGTCTAGTTGTCATGTTATGGTCTGGGAATTAAGCAGTTAATGGCATTATAGGCTCGTCAGTCAAAGCCACTGAATATATAAAGTCATGTCTTGGCATTCCTCTGGTGCCTCCGCAGTCAACAGAGAGGTTTCATTTCGCCAAGACTCTCATTTTGCCTTGTCACAGCGGAGCCTGCTACCAGGCTGAGGACATGGGGACACGGATGGGTCCGTCTTGGCTCTGCCCATGTCTTGCCTGTGTTTGGGGAGAGGTGGGGAGTGCACCGTCCCCTTGTCTGGCCTTATTCTGGGCAACCTCTGCCAGTGCCTCACCACCCTCCCAGTAAAGTGAAGAGGAAGGAATTATAATTATAAACTGAATTTCTGTTATAATGTGTCTGTTATGGTGGTAAAACCCTCAGCGGATGCACTGAGGAAGCTGGTTTGTGGTTTTTCATGTAACAAGAAGCAAGACACGATCCAGAGTACCGTAAGGAAATGTGTGTACCTACAGGTGAACTGCTCCTGAGTAGAAAAGATCTGATTTTAATTAAAATAATAGATATTTTGAGAAGAATTCTCTCTTCATGAGAATATATGTATTTTTTTTAATACTGTTCTAATTATGTTGGAGTCTGTCTGAAGTGCAATTGGGATCTCTTCTCTTCGGACCCTTGTCCCTCCAGCTGTGGGGGTCAGGCAGGTCCCGGAGCGACCCGCTGCCCTTCTGCAGGCAGGAGAGTCCTCTGACTCCTCTGGCTGTGGCTGAGCCTAGGGATGGGAAAACGCAGCTTGGGTATCCGATCCATCCCACGTCACAGCCAGCTGCTCCTTGGGTTGATTTGTTATCATTGTCCTCAGATACAATCTAATCAAGCCCAGCACGGTCAGAGGGGCTCCATCATCTCTCGGGAGCTCCCGAGCAGGCTGCTTAGAGGTTCCTTCTCAGAAGGAATGATAATAATAATTTCCATTCCGGTGCTTCAAACTGTGATTTACGTTCATAGGTGATTTTTGTACTGCCTCACAATACTACTTCTTGAGGAAAAAAGGGTTTAAATCTGTGTCTTGTAGATGGGGAGGCAGAGTATTGTGTCCAGGGCAGTGGAAATCCCTGTGGAAGGTTTGGGAGCTGGACCGTGCTCTTGGGTCGTGAAGCCCTGTGCATAACCTGAAGGTTATCGTCCCTTCCTGAGCATCGGTGGTGATGACAGTCTGTTCTGCTCCGAGCCAGCGCTCTGCCATTAAAACAAAGGGGAATATACCCTGGTGTCTTTATTAAAAAAAAAAAAATCTATCTTATTTTGTTTGTTTATTTCTGACTAAAAGAAGAATGTGAGTCTCTGCTAATGAAAAATATTAAAATTCCAGATCTCCTGTATAATAAATAATAACATGAGCATGAACTTGGCTTCCCACAGTCACCACCAAAACACCAATACAGCTCTTTCAGTGCAGCTTGTTTTGAACTTTGCCTGTTTCCTTCAGCTATGCAGATACAAATAAATAATTCTGCTTGATAAAGGTCTGGAAATGCTATACTTTAAAAGATAAGAAAGCTTTGAGGGGAAATTGTTTTTAAATCCATAACATTTGTATGCTGTTCACTGTTCATGCCAAGCAGAAATTCATTCCGTTGGCAGTTAACCAACCCTGTTTTATTCGTATTCTGCGTTCAACCTATCCTTCTCCTGGGGACATCTAACCTTATATGTAATTACCTTTCTGAGAGTGGGAAGGAGGCCTGAATAACCTTCCTAACAACTAAATAAATGCACAGATCCCTGGGATAGGTTATCAAGCGGATGCTGGTGGCAGAGCTATCAGGAGCAGCGTGTCTGAACCATGAAGAATTTCAAAATTTGAGTAATTTTCTTCCCAGCGTTGGCCTAAAGAACTGGAATTTGAAATGTTTTCAGAAAACCAAAATAAAACACCCTCGTTTTTCAGATTATTTCTGTTTCTTTGAGAGCTTGGAGATAACAGTGGTGAATTTTAACAGTGATGGTGGCTTTTTTTTCTCTCCAGGTCTGTCCAAGTCACTGGGTCTCATTGAAGGCTATGGTGGGCGTGGTAAAGGTGGGCTTCCAGCCACCCTGTCCCCTGAGGAGGAGGAGAAAGCAAAGGGACCACACGAGAAATACGGCTACAACTCCTACCTCAGTGAGAAAATTTCACTGGATCGTTCCATACCAGATTATCGTCCAACCAAGTAAGTTGCTGTGTGAAGGAGTGCACGCTTGGTATCAGCTGGGAGCCAGGAGCGATGGTTGCTTTCATACCCTGGTGTGATACCGTTCACTCTTCCCTCCTTATCGGTCCGAGGGCCTTGCTCAGTGATGAGCAACCGATGTAGTTTGGCTGGAACTGAGATAGTTCATAAAGATGATTTATCAGGGAAAAAAAGCTGATTTCTTCCCGCTCTTCTCTCTCTTGCTTTTCATTTTCCCGCAGTCATACATGATTTTGGGTGGTGGTAACGTGATCAGAAGCTCACATCTGCTTTCGTCAGCAAAGGGTTGTTCACTGAGCCATTGGCCTTTGGTGTTTGTTACCCTGTAAATATGTGCAGAGACTCTTCCTTTCTGCTCCCTTCTCCGCTCCTTCATGTCCCTACAAGACCTCCGGGGCTCTCCTGTTGGTCTTTAAGGAGCCCTGAGAGGTTGCTGCCAGGGAGGGGGCAGAAGTGCTTTAGCCCTTTGCCACTGCGGTGGCAGGAAGGCAGGCATGAGAAAAGGCTTAAAATACCAGTCAGAAAGAGTCACTGCTCCCGAGCAGTGCCACCTCTGTGCAGACACCTTTGAAGGGAGCCCCATGGATCAGGGAGCAATGTCCTTTCTTTACTGTTTTTGCCAGAGTGACCTTTTGCAGTGATGGTGATGTTTACCTGCTCAGCACCGTAGGAATAGACTTTAAATTAAATGCCAAATCATTTTGTTAAGAGTGTGAGAAAAGACATGCTGTACGTTTATCTTTATGAAAGTTAATTTTAGTTATGGCTTGTAGAGTGTTCTTCAAAACAGGAAAGTGTCAATTTGTCCAGGGCTAGAGTGAAATCCCTGATAAAAAAAAGATCTGAGAGAGATTTAGATTCTGAGAGATACGTGTCCAATGCCCGTGTCATTAGGACAGTGACAAAGCCATTGCTTGGCATCTGCAAACTATTGAAAATCATGCAGCAAGGGGATGCAGCTCCATGTCTTCCAGCATACTGGCAAATTGTTAAGGATGTGAGAGCATGGAGAGCTTTTGTTCCTTCACTTCTCTGCATGCTGCATGAATTTCAAGCAGCCACTCAGCGTTTCCAAGGCTGTCAACCACTGACAACAGAAACATTTGGATGAGTTTTCAAGGGAATGGAGGCCCAGCCTCCAATTCTGCTGGTGTGGTTCGTCTGGACAAAATGAATTGCGGGTACAAATTGCACCTTGGGCTGTTTGATATGCAAATCCCACTACAATGACAAATCCTTCAAGTGAGACCTTCTCTAGCAGTTACCTGTGTCTGAGCTGCTTATTTTCATTTCTCATCCAGAACTCTGACTTCTAGCAGAGCCAGCATTACTTTGAGAGAATTAATTTGAGAAGTAATTTTTTTACAGATTTGGGGGGGGGGGGGGGGAAGAAAAGGATTAATTCTGACATTTTTAGGTTTCCATTATATTCTTCCTCAATGCCACTGTCCGTCATTTCATGGGAGGGTGGTGGAGAGGACAGAGCAGACACTGGGATTCATTGAATGTCCATCATTTTGGTGCTGGGCTGATACTTTGGTGTGAATTTGTGAGTACTGACTGCAGCTGCATAAGTTAGTGTCTTTTATCTATGTAAGAACTTCAGTAGTGTGTTTTGGTTATTGCTTCTTTTAAAAAAAAAAGGATCAATTGTTATTGTAAAAGAGCAATTGGTCTGGTTATGGAATAGGCTTGAATTTGCTGGAGGATTTGAAAAGTTTCATCCTTTTCTACTTCTGACTTGAAGATCCATTTGCTATTTTGTGCGTGCAATTTTATGGCTGATTTTATGAAGGTTTTAATACAAACCATTTAAGTCAAGTATCCTAGTCTCTGATTAGAATAGATTCAAGTCAAAGGAAATTAGCCTAAATGGTTTTGAAATTGCGACATTAGTGGGGAAAAACTGTTGAAAACCCTCCAGCTAATAAGCATTACAAAGCATGTATTAGTTTTAAATATAATAGTGAAGCCTATTTGGTTCAACTAAAGGCTGTTCAGTGTCCAGAATGCCAATGGACCTGGACTGTTCCTAGCAGGGGCTGTTGCTTGTGCATTCTTTCCTTTTCAATTTTCTCTCTTTTTTTCTTTTTTTTTTTTTAAGAAAAAGATTAATGTGATCAAGTGTTGCTCTCCTGAGTGCAGAGCTGGGCTGGATCAGACCTCTGAGTCCTTTTTCTGCCCTCTCTTTGTGACTGTGGCCAAAGTGAAGGGGAGCAAGAGGATTTTAGGGGAAATTGGGCATGTTTTGTAATCTTTCTGTATTTAGACTCCCTTCACCTCGTGGTCAGCATCACTAAGGGTTCAAAGACGCAGGTGTCCCTGCTCAGAGTGATTTGCAGACAGATGTTGGCAATGAGGAGGCGTCACGAGTCCCAGCTGATGGCCTTTCCAGTCCCTGCCCAGAAGGGATAGAAGTGAGTTTCCTGGGACAAAAGGGTCCAAGAGGTGTTGGATACGTGATGGTGCTTAGGAGAAGGTAAAGTCTTTCCAGGAGCAGGGGGCAGAGGGCCTTGCTTGTCTTGATTTTTGGAATTGTGGTGTTTCTTTTTGGTAGTTTGGATCATCATCTTTGCTTTGGTTATAAAATGGGAGTTTCTTTGAGAGGTTTTCTTTTCTTTTCTTAGAAGCTGAGGCTGTTCGCCTAGGCTGGAAGGTAGGAAGTCTACCCGGCTGTTCACCACTCCAGCACTATTGGGTTTCACACTGGACTGATTCCCAAAAAAGTACTGCAAATGGTACGGATCCATGGAGTACGTGTGTGGTGCTGATACCATGAGGGAGCTGTGTCTGTAGGACCTGACTCTGGACCTCACTGGTACTGAGTTTCTGATCCTCCCCTTCTGCTGAGTAGGAAAGGTTGTGTTGGGTGTGCAGTGCAATATGCTTTTAGGGTGAATCAGGTCATGGTATTACATTTTGGATGATGGAGAAGTCTGGTCCTTTCGCTGCAATAAGGGAGGACTAGTGCTTTGGTGCAAGGGACCTTACTTCAAGTCTTGCTGCAGAACAGTGGGGTAATGAGATAGGATAGGCAACACATTTCTCTCTTGCTTGATTAGTTTTTTGGACTTTAAGATGAGATTTCTGCGTGTTCTGGAAAACAATTACTGCTTTTAGATTGGAAGTACCCAAGGTGCTGCCTGAAGACTGCAGGACTTCTACACAAATCTCAAAAAAAAAAAAAAAAGAGCTGGAGAGATATTCTTCAATTTTCTGCAAAAACGGCGAAGGACGAGGCTGATCTGTGAGTTTTATTGTTGGTCAATTCACAGCATTTTCTACTTGCCTGGGAAGGGGGGGGGTTTAAGAAGACGTGTTCTTTTCTTTATTGAAAGTGAAGCATGTGTACGTGGGATCCTAGGGGCTGCTAACACTCCTCATGTTTATGCACCTCTATTTTATTCTGTGATGTATGATTTAATGGGAACCTCTCCTACGTGTAGCGGGCAAATAAAAATTACTGTGCTACGTCAGTCTGCCTGTCCATCTTATCTAGTATCTAATCTCCAATAGTGGAATTACCAGATGCTTCAGGTTGAAGAAATCATATTAAGGAAAACTATGAAATAATCTGCCCATCTGGTGCATTCTGTCTTCTCTCTTCTCTTTTTCAATCCTATCCAATAGAAATGTGGAGTTCTCATTATCTCTTTAAAAGTCTGTTCCTTTCTGGAATCCCGCTAAGCTCTGATTCACTGGTATTTTATGGCATTATGGGATTAAGGAGTAGATTTAAGAAAAATAATACCCACAATTGTTAGGACTATTGAATCATGGGGCGAAGGTGACATATTCCTGCTGCTGCGAATCTCTCAACAGCTGTTCTCATGCAGGCAAGCTTCAGGATATTAAAGTGAAGAGGAAAAGCGGTGTAAGTGATAAGCAACTTCCACAGCTTGATTTTTCAGAGGTTTTGAGGGCTTCCGAGCCAGGAGACCCTACCCCCTCCTCCTGCCGGCTTTGTGGGTCCTGCACATGGGCCAGGCAGAGCATGGAGAAACTTGGACGGTGTGTTTTGGGAGCTTGAGCTGCTTTTGTGTTTTTGCAGCACGGTCTGGTGAAAGGTTTGTGTTCTCTAGGTGGACCACATGGCCTCAGAGCAGTGTCCAGGGCAGAGCTCTACCATCACCTGGAAGCCATTGCTACAGATCAAACAGTTATGTATCCCTGGCTTGATTTTAATCTTTCCCAGGGGTGTGTTTGGGGTTGAGTCAGAGTCGTTACACTCAAGTGGGTGAATCACCCAGTTATTTCTGTAGCTGCCTTCCTTGGGAGCCTGGGAGCAATTGGGTTTCTTAGCACCATCTGGCTTGGGCTGGTTTTATTACCAGGGACTTGGTGTGGCAGCTAGTTGAAAGGCTTTCTGTGGGATATAGTGGAAAAGACAGAGTTTTGGAGAAGACTGTGGGTTGTTCTCTGACAACTTAAGTAAGTACAAAATCCATTCTTGATTTTGTTTTTGTTTGAAGTGGTGTGTGTGTGTGTGCCCTTTGAGGGCTCCCAGCATTTACATACTGGGTGCTGGAACATGTTCTGGGGAGGGCTACCCCACCCGTGGAGGGACCCTTGCTCTCTGCTGTGGGGCTACCGGTGGGTCGCAGCCTCTAGTCCAGGTTACTGGGCTGTTGCAGGGCCAAAGAATTGGATTTTGGTTTTATAATCAAAGCTGAATGCATCTTTGGGAAGTCATGAATGTGGATGCAACGTAAATACATCAGGACTGCCCAGGACGATGGGCCTTGGAGACCTGTAATTCAGTCTCCTGCCCATGAGACCACACCTGCCTTCACATCTCTCGTCTGCTGGACCCCCAGCGTTCCCATCCTGCGCTGACCGTACCTGCGCTCGGGGGCTTCCCCTCCGGACTCCAAGACTGACCATGTTTTGTGCCCTAAGGTTGGCTCTGCTGGGGCTCGGGAAGGTGTCCGTGGATTTCATGTGCTATCATATTTATTGATTTTCTTTTGAAGAAGGGC